CAGAGGCCACAAAAGTTGAGCCCGCTTCGTAAATGATCAAACTCATAAACCAGACCCGTAAATCGGAGCACATATTATTTACTTGAGNGTTCTTCGTACAGCTCAATCGCTATGCAATTATTACTTTTGGCATAATTCTGCTGTTAGTTCTTTTGTTCCTAAATTTCTTACTTGCTGCTGCATTCTGCTACATTCCTTCGCGCACGGCGTCTCTTGCCGCGACGCGACCATTTCGCTCCTGCAGCACCACACCCGAGCAATTCAGTTCACCTGTAGAAAGCTATTTGGTAACGGCCATCCGCGGGTTCTCCTGGCGACAATATGCCTTCCAAATGATTGGCTTTTTGCAGGCTGTTTTGGGTACAACATGGCTTCACACTTGGGCACTTCGCCTTTTTTCTGTTTGATCTGAACCTCTCTGCATTTTCCTTTGATAGGACAGGCAGAACAACTGTGGTGAATGTTGATGAAGTGTGAGGACTTCTGCTACTGTACAAATCTACACGAGAGCACAGAAAGCTGGCAGGAAATTTTGGTTTATCGGAAACCACCAACAGTGATCGCGTCCTAACGCGAGCAAATCAACTGGAAAAGCTATAAAATCCCTTAAATTCAGATTTACACCAACCTGAACAGAAATGTTGGAGTGTGTTTGCTTCCGACATAACTCTCGACACGAAGGTCCTTCCGGTACCAATCTTGAGACATTACTTTTGTTGCATCATTTTCGACCACGTTTCAATTGTTTTATTGACAACTGGGATAGATAATTGATCTTCACAACACCAAAAACAAAGTGAAACCAGTATATAAAAGGCAAGTCACACCCAACAGCTATAAAGTACAAGTCATACTTATTCAGTGGAATGGTTAAAATACACAACGCGAATTAGGAAAAGGCACAGGAACTAGCATAGAGGAAAAACGCAGTAGAAGCAATAGATGAAGTACCCATCAAATCTACAGGCATGATGCCGAAAGAAAGCACCTTAGAGTAAAGCATCTGAGAAGCCGGTAACTAAAAAACTGTCATCATAACTCAAGAAACGATATGTTTCTCACTAATCATCTCTCTGCCGGAGATTACAGAAGCACTTTGCGGAAGCAGGAACCCATTGGGATCATTTGGAAGCGGTACAGAGGCCACAAAAGTTGAGCCCGCTTCGTAAATGATCCAGACCCGTAAATCGGAGCACATATTATTTACTTGAGTTCTTGGAGTTGATCAATGCCGTGTAAAGTTGTGGCCACGCATTAGAATTCCAATCACAAGCGTTGTAGCGCTTGTATGCGTATTTGCCTGTACAAGGACTTTGCAGGTACTGCGAGTATGCCTTTCACCTTTCTAGACAGGTCTGGTATCCATTAACTGACCCCAGACTGACGAAACGCACACGTAAATCCCTAGAGGGAGAGAGAGTAAGCGCTACCGAAAGATAGCCTTGATTTGCCCATTCATTAAAGATATCACTCCATTTCTTATCTTGTGGGAGCAAGGGTAATAGAAGGAATAAAATGTAAGCTGAAGAAAATGGGGTTGTTAGAAGTTGAGACTGGACTGTTCACCAACTCAGGTTCTTTAGGAGCGTTCAATAAAGTAAGGGCCTGATCTCTGTTGCCATTTCAACAAAATAACAGTTCTGAATCTTTAAGTGGATGGGAAATCGTAAAAAAGCGAGGTTTTTTCGGACTCCAAAACTTCCATACTGTCAAAAAATGCCAGTGAACACCCAAACCCTCGAGTGATGCTACGTCGAATTCCGAAGTGCTTTTATGAGTAAATCGTACCTTAGGGATGCTGCAGCTACAAGAGAAGACAAGATTTTCGTTTTCCTTTTAACATTTTTGAATAGATTCAGAACAGAACAGAATAGATTTTGAATAGATTTGAGCTTATCCAAGAGAGCGAGGAGAAAAGAACAAAACGCTGACAAGAAGAAGCTATATTGTAGAGGCCGTACAAGATGTGTACCACCATATGTTTCTTGGATAGGGTTGTTCTAAATTCCACATCCCAGACCTGCAAAATGATTACAGAAACAAATTTACACAAGCAATTTCTCCTTGTTGAATGGGATCCAGGGAAACATCAGCACGTCGAGACACTGTGACCCTGTGAGGCGGTGACGCCACTGGTCGGGCAGCGTAGTTCAAAGCTTTAGTGAGGGTTTGCAACCATGCTTGATATGGGAAAATAGTGGAAGCTGAGCTCGAGAGTAGTGCAAAGGTGAAGAAGAAAGCACAAAAATTAGCGCATTTTGAGAGAAGGGGCTTCAAAATAGCAGTAAAATAGGGGTCGTACGAGAATACGACGCCAGAGGTGACGTGGGAAAGGCATTCCGACGATGTGTCAGATGTGTGCTGTTGCATAGAGCAGCCTACAGTAAGCCACAAATGCCAGAACTGCCTTCCACTCTCGCCATGAATCACGACTAGTTGTTTGGATTCTCACCCTCTATCGAGAATGGTGGGGCCACGTCAAAGCCTTTGAAACACGACCAACTCTGGGCCTGCCATACAAGGTAACCGGTATCGAAAGATGAGACACTCCAATCGTGCCACTAAAGCTCAAGAGCATGTTTACGAAGCTTGGAAACGCTTGCGTCTACCTGCCTGTTTGCACGGAAATTTGATATTACCTGAAGAAGCATCTGCAGAGCTTGGGTCAAGTGTGGGATGGGTTGGCCGGGTAATGGAACTTCTCCCCGAATTCTCACGGCTTGCGGCAGTGGTTCCGCGGCGACTCTCTGTATCTTTCCGTTGGGAATTCAAGTCTTTCCCTTCGTAACGCGCGATCGCGTGCGGCGAGCGTGACAGGCAGCCCGGGGAGAAGATCCCAGGCCCGGGTTGGCCATACGTCATGATCGAAAAGCACATGCTAGCTCAGCGGAGTTCCGCCCATAGGTGACGGAGTATGCATAGGAGTTTGCAGTGTCATGAACAAAATGCCTTGATTAGGTTTGATAACAGCCCTGGCGCCGGGAAAAATGAGCAAAAGTGAGGGATGATCAACAAGTGAAATGAAGGAAACTCATCAGCGGTAAGTAGAGCGTTCTCGCAGTGGGAGGTACTTACCACATGAGGTCCTAACTGGTTTCTATGAAAGCGTGGAGGCAAGAAAATAATAAAAGGAGTGAGCAAGGCCTTATGGAAGCTTCGCCCACTACGGGCGGTTCTTTAAAGTAGCTTGGGCCACTGCTCAAAAACGTTCTCGAACGCGGAAAAAGTGGTTCAAGACTTTAGAAGGAATTTAGTGCTCTGCGCTCCGCAATTTCACTGTGCGCGAAGATTTCGCGTTACCACTCCAATGGATAGTCAAAATGAGGAAGAAGTCTTGAGAAACATTCGGAATATTGAAAAATATTGTTCGCTTTGTTCAATATTGTTTAAGAGTAAGATCAAGCGATTACCATGCTCCTTCAGATTGTTTCCTTAGCGAGCCATGTTTCTTTAGGTTTCGACAACATTATAAAAATACTTATTGTATTCGTCTACCGGACTCGGCTGAGCTGTCCAAGTGTTTCGAATAACTTCCATAATTACTTCAAGTCACCACAGTACAGATTCAAGTTAGATTTTCACCCATTTAACTCGATCGAGAGGCACCTTTAGGACGGCAGACGGAGCAAATCAACACGTTCGATCTCGAAAATTATGAGAGTTCTAGAAAACTGAGCCCGGAAATGTGGAGCAGTTGGTGAATGAAGTGTGGAAGGTAGGTAACTAGTAAATACGACGAACTTTCCCAGATGTGGATAAACTGTAGTAGTGAGCCAGGTGAGCGACGATTGAGCAGTTGGTTGCAGATGATGGATATGTGAGTAGATTCGGCATCAAAATACAGTATCGGCTCACAGAAAACATGAGGAGTTCCACGTAGCACCACGTTGACAATTAATTTGAAAGGAAGTATAAAGAGAACTAGCTTTAGCCACTATGTATGCATGCGCGGTTTTGAACCCGAATTCCAACAGCATGCGGTATGCGGCAGTGACTTCGCAGCAATTACCGTAACCATCCACTGAAAACTTAAACGTTCCCCTTCACAGCGAGCGACTGCGTGTGTTTGCGTGGGTTCAGCACGGCACGCCTTTCGGGTGTAAAATACATACCGCATCCATCTGAAATACACATTCCCCGGCAGTTAGATGTATAGTAAGCATTCGGGATAAGCACATACACACATATATACAAGAGAACATTCCAAGTGAAACACTGTAGAAGGAATTTCCTACCGTGTTGACGGTAATAATAACAAAAAAAAACATTATGGACTAAATGGAAGAAAGCTAAAAGAGCTTCGAGTAAAGCGTAGGAGTAGGAGGTAAGAAACCTTTGCAGACACTGCACTGATCATTCAGCAGTGTCAAAATTGGTCGATACGAAGGAATGGAAGGCTTGGTTGGCCGTTGTAGAAGAAGTGCAAGACTTATGAGCGGGTGTTAAAAATGTTAATTATTGGTTGTAAGGAGGGAATCTTGACCGTAACCGAAGTCTAGGCCGATACTGTTGCAAGGAAATTAAGGCGAAGTAAAGCTGAGATACCTCGGCGATGAAGACACGACCATTCGAAGAGATCTTTGAGAGCCACCAGCTAAAAATATCGGATGCATGTTTTGGATAGAATATCCATGGATACTGCTCCAAAATGGTGAAACACGGATCAAATGCTTAAACAAAGAATCCACATCTCAAGAACCACCATGCTTACCAATTTTATTTGATCTTCGAACAAAAGTTGTTGGCATACTCTTCCAGCATCGTCAATATTCCTATCCGAATCTATACGAGGCTCATAATAACAGAGAACGCTTTCTGGAATGCTTCTCCAAGTTCCGTCCTCTTTCGTTTGGAACGTATATACGATAGTCTGGAACATGGATTATTTTTTAAAAGAGTTTTATCACGTTACACGTAGCAGCAGACATACTCCACTGATTTTTCTTAGTCCCTTATGTAATTTTTTTGCCGATTTAATCCAGTGCGGAAACGGAATACATTCGTACAACATAAAAAGTTCCAGCGGTTAAGGTAAAATTTTCAGAGAGAACTGGGGCTCGATTCAAATGATAGGAATTGCAGAAAGAGGTCAGAGTCATGAGGAATTTCTGACCTCTGAAGTATTCATCTCAAAGCACCACGTACCATGTCTTGGTTTCTGCCGAAGAAAATAGGTGTCAACATCCGCTTAGAAGCCTTAGTGAAGGCTGTAGGCAAGGTTGAATTCTTCTGAAAATCGTGTATCTTTAATGTTATTCATGCGTGCCATCACCTTCCTTTTGTATAAACCTTAAATTTCAAAGGCTAATGCGTGTCTAAAAATAAGCTCACTCCGCTGGGATTTGAATTAAAGGATGAAGTGTGTTGCCACTCATCTCTAACATCGAAGGATCCTGAGCTGACGAGTAAGCCGTCGACCTAAATTGATTCATAAATGTGAAATTTCGAAGTCATTACGAGGAGCAAACTATGCACGTGAATAAAAACTTTTTCTTGGAATAGAAAAAAATGAACAAAAAAGCAGAGAAGGCTCTAATACATTTTCACACGCAAGGATATTTACACTGAAATGGACTCCTAACTTGATGGAGATTTCCTATTTTTGTAAGTCTCATCAAGAAAGTTAAACTATGCAAATACCCGATTACTATTACCTCGATTGGACAACATAAAGGTCAGAAAACAAATACCTTGTCTACTTGTGCTCTGATTTCGTCCATTACACTCAATCCTCTCGTGTTATCGATGAATTGGACGACATTAAGATTCAAGAGCACATTAAGTGCCTCGACATCATCCACCTGAAGAGGAAAGAAACGATTGGTTTTGATCAAATAGGCTTGAATAAATATGACTCACTTTGCTGCGTAAGTCGTTGAACGATGCATCACGATAATACGCAGGAAGAAGAATGGTAACCTGTCAAAAAGAAAAATACAATTCAAAAATACAGTCCAAAATAAAGCAAAGTAAGTACAAGAATAATTAAGGCAAGTAAAAGGATCATTCAAACTATGTACGGAAAAAGAATAAAGAAAAGGACCACAACATTTAAGTCAAAACCTAATTCTGGAAACGAAAGGCAGTGTTATGTCATGCGTAGGAATTCTTTTACTTTGTACCATTAATCTGACGATAAGACACTTTCACTGTGCTTGTGATCATAGCATGAAATTGTTTATAGCAGAAACCTTACTTTGTGACCACGCAAAAGAAATTCTGCCAAGCACTGGCAAATAGGCTTCATGGAGAGAACTTTGCATGGAGTCCAGGCAAGTTTTTTGGTGTCTCTGATCCTGCCCCAATACACAGAATACTCCTTATCGAAGCAGCCAGACACTGCGCATCCATCTGAAGTGAACAAATTATTCAGAAACGGCCTCGAAAGAAATCCTCTAAGGCAAAACCCCTTCAATTTAAAAAAAAAACTTCAAAAAAAAAAA